TGGAAAATGAAACATGATTTTATTTGGCAGTCTGTCCTCTTTTTTTTTGTTGCAATTTTCATCAATGTTTTCAGTGAGTATTAATACATATTACGCTCTCTGGAGGCTGTTTTCAAAGTTCAGTTTTACATTCAAAAAGTACATGTAGCCTACTTACGTAAGGACTACTGCATTAACATATTTTAATTACTTGTACTTAGGTTACTCTTTACTTCCCCACAACACTCTGGTAGCCATATTATACATTTGATTCAACTGGAAATATTCACCATCATTATAAATGTTTTCACATCAATAATAAACATTTACACCAAATCAGGAATTATTATAAATGATTACTATTAAGATTGAATTTAAAAAAAACCTGCAAACAAGTGATGCTTACTTATCAATCAATATTTTTTCAGAATCAATTGACGATTTTTCAGAAGTTGACCATTTTGCATCGTCACTTTTACTGTGGATTTATTAAGGTTTTCAATACTGCAAACTTGTGAACAGTGAACAGCAGAAATAAGTTTAAATGTTGCATTAAGGCACACAAGATTTAGGATTATTATAGTAGCCTAAGCAGTGATTGATTAAGATATAAGGGACAACTCGAAATTATGTTTTTATCACCACTTACTTGTTTTGAGGTAATCTTGAATGACAAATGAATAAATCAGCCATTGCAATGTTTCATGTAGAAATCATAACCCTGTGGGGCATACATATTTGATCCCCTCACATTCTCCATTGTAACTAATCATTAAAAAAACAATCCTCCATTAGGAATCACAAAGGAACACTTACTAATTATATGAAAATTCATAATTATTACAATCAGTCCCTATATATGCTATAGATGATCCCCAATCAAAATTCAGTGTAAGCTACTTTGTAGGAAAGTAGAAGCAATGATAGACAAATAAAAAAGAACTGCAGTGCATAGCAGGAGGTTACAGCGCCCCTGCTGGCTGAAGCAGGTATTAAAAGCTTACAGCACCTGGGATTCCCAGGCGGTCTCCCATCCAAGTACTAACCAGGCCAGTTTTGAAAGAGGGAAGTTAATCTTCACGGAATCGGTTTGTTCAATGTGTTTATCAGACGTTTGAACGTTCAGTTTGCCCGCAAGTCGTGAAACAAGTCTTAAAAACAAGCTGCAAGTCTTTAGTTAACTCCCAGCGTCAAAGTATTGCTGAATCTAGTAAGATTAAGTGTAAGTCTATCCATAGGCCCACACGTTTGAGTAGAAAAGTAATAAAATCAACTAGGTCATAGTCACTTGCTCTAATTTTGGCGAGGTGTTACTTTAAACCTAAGTATGTATAAATAACCCTTTAACAACCTGTTTATTCGCTTACGGCCATACCACCCTGAACACGCCCGATCTCGTCCGATCTCGGAAGCTAAGCAGGGTCGGGCCTGGTTAGTACTTGGATGGGAGACCGCCTGGGAATACCAGGTGCTGTAAGCTTTTAATACCTCCTTTAGCCAGAAGAGGGCGCTGTTGCCTCACTAGTGGAGAAAGGACCCAGGTAAACACAGGCCTGTGGAAAAAATACAATATATAGTTATCTGTACTTTTTTGGTGGGGCAATTGTCATCAATCCTTTTCAGAGAATATCAAGAGCCTACATATTAATCTCTCTCTGGGCTATATTCACATGTCAGTTGTGGTTCTTTAACTATAAGGTAGCCCTACTGTATTTACATTTTTTTAAATAGGCTATTTGCACATGGTTGATGTGAATTATGTTGATTGTTGTTTTTTTTCTGGCTGCAGCACGGACAAATTTCTCACTCGAATCTTGACTCTTGACTCAACTTGGTTATTTCTGTTCACGGCTAAACAAATTCTATTATTGTATTTTTTCTGCCTTTATTTAACTGATTTACATATGTTTGATTGTTATTTTTATTTTTAATAATTTTATTCCTTTTTCCTGTTTTCTTGAGCTGCTGTAATGCAAAAATTTCCCCCATGGGAGTCAATAAAGTTGATCTTTATCTTTATCTTTATCTTTTACTTCCCCACAACACTCTTGTTGCCATATTGTACATTTGATTCAACTTGGTTTATTTACCATCATTAGATATGTTTTTTTATTTTTTTTAAATCAATAATAGAAATACACCAAATCAGGTGTTAGGGTTAGCCAAACTTCACAAGCTGCATTTAAGTGACTCTTACTTATCAATCAATATTTGATCAGAATCAAATGATGGTTATTGTTGGAGCTATTTAATTGGGGTTAGAATTAGTTTTTGTGTTTAGTTTACTAATATTTTGGTGGTGTTGTTTATTTCATTATTCTACACGTTTTCTTTATTTAGAAAAGATTTGGGTAATACTGTGGGCACCGGAGATTATTTAAGTCAGAGGCAGGTGGAGGACCGGCATGCACCTGGGTGGGCCTATTGTTTTTTATCAGGTCAAGAGAGGCAGTGGGAGCCACGATTTTCTTTGTTCTTGTGTTTGTTTTCCTCAAATAAACCAGCAAAATACCGCAGCTCCTGCATGGACATTGGATTTCTTTTGCCTGCGTATATTACATCCCCATGGTGCATCAGTGGTCATTTGATTATTTTTGATATTAGTTTATTTAGATTGTTTTGTTGTTTTTTAGACAAATAGCCACTACAGTTATTTTTCCAAAAATGAGCCATTAGTGAAAGTCAAAGTCTTTATCATCAATGTTTTATCATACACACTTTAACAATATGAATTCTAGAAATAATTTCAAGTTTAAATGTTGCAAAAGGCACACAAGAATAGGCTTATTAGAGGAAGTGGGCTAATTATAAGTGAATGATGAAGATATGAGTGACAACTCGGTATAATGTTTTTATCACCTGTTTTGAGTTAATCTTGAAAGAGAAATGTAGAAATCATTACCCTGAGATGCATTCATATTATATCCACTCACATTCTCTCATTTCTCATCTCTAATTATGTATGTCCTCCATGAAACTTACTGACAATTTACCTTTATTACAATCAGTCCATATTTATGCTATAGATGTGCAAGAGGCTTCCTGATAATGCTCAAAATGTTGTGTAGGCAATGATAGACAAATATAAAAGAGAGCTACAGTACACAGCAGGAGGTTACAGCGCCCCCTGTTGGCTGAAGAAGGTAATAAAAGCTTACAGCACCTGGTATTCCCAGGCGGTCTCCCATCCAAGTACTAACCAGGCCCGACCCTGCTTAGCTTCCGAGATCGGACGAGATCGGGCGTGTTCAGGGTGGTATGGCCGTAAGCGAAGTTTACTGTTGTATAGAGTCTATTTATATATAGGTAATGTCGTAAAATTCTATTTTAAATGTATTATCTGAGTTAAATAATAATACAAACTGATAAATTGAAAAGTAGGCTATCTTTTCAAATTCATAAGATCCATCAACAGCACACTCACTTGACTCTGACAGGTGAAAACGCACCTGTGCAGGTAACTTCATGAAGCCTAATTAACTGTAGCAGTTGTGCAGTAGTTAAGACTATTTACAGTGAACCAGAAGGCATCTCTGTCAGAAATCTATAGCCTTAACATTTTTATTTTCCTTCAGTCAGCAGATGGCGCTGTTGATCCTTCAATTATTTGAAATCAAGTGGCCTGAAGACCAAATATGGGTGTCCAAAGTGCGGCCCGAGGGCCATTTGCGGCCCTTGAGGGGATTTTTTTTGCGGCTCGTGACTTCAAATGAAGAATCAGAAGATTTTGGCCCGAGGCCTCGATTAAGATTGGCACATCATCTTATTTTTCTTTTTCATGTAAACAAGGGTTGAACAATATTCCTAAAATAGAAAATGTTCAGTAACATGTATGTTGTTTTTTTTTTTTTAAATCTACAGCTTTTTACTATTTTCCACATTTTTTTGTAACCTATGACCTCTTGATTCTGAGAAAAAAACAAATAAATAAATAAATAAAGTAGAACGAAGAAATCAAAATATTTGATTTCCTTTTATTAAAGGGTTTCTTTAGCGAGCCTTTTGATTCTGATCTACAAATTAACAAATTACAAATTAAGTTGCTCGATTAAACAACTTAATTTGACTTTTTCTATATCTAGTCTATATGTTCTTTTGTTTTGTTCTTTGCTTTTTTTCTCGTATAATTTGAAGGCGCCTCCATACAGTAATCAGTGTGTCATGAAACGTTTCAGCACTGTTCAGACTTTAGTACCAAAAAAAAAGTTATTGTCAGAAGTGGGATTCGAACCCACGCCTCCATTCGGAGACCAGAAACCCCATTCTTCACAGGAAGGTTTTACCTTGAGTCTGGCGCCTTAGACCACTCGGCCATCCTGACAACTACTGACAGCGAGCTGAAACAAAAGTATAAATAATCACTATGTCTTGTTATTTCCTTTTTTTTAATCTAAACACTCCTACTGCTAATTTCGCTTTTTAATTGCCGTATTTTGAGTTTAGTTTCATACATTTAAAGAAAAATATCGCTGGCGTATCTGCAAATTCACCCGTGTTTACAATAGGAAAGTACCAACGATGTCCACCATGGGGGCGCTAGACACTTATTTACAGATTACTTCCGGTGGTCAATCACGTGACTCCCCGCCCATCACAACCACAACGTGTATTTACGTGATGTCAGAATAATTGGAATTACAAGCATCCCACTGGTAAACTCAGTAGTAAATACTTTTTTTTTTTTTTTTTAAAGAATTTGCCAAGTTGTCAAGATTTGAATTAACATTACATCAAAACATATCGAAGAAAATATTAAAAATGTTATTTTGATGGTTACAAACTTACATAAATTTACAAACTGTTGATCATTCTGTGGATCATTTGTATTTTGTTACATAGTATGACACTTTATCCATTTGTAGCTGTCCACATAGACCGATCTAATTCAATTCTGAGCAACAACATTAAACATGTTTAATTTGTGGTGTCCATAATACTTTTTAACGCTCCAGAACAGAAGTCATGTAAATTACTTGTCATGTGGGAAATCCGATCATTTGAAGAGCACGTGAACGCATCATTACTACATAACGTAACTAGTCATTCTTATGAAACCTAAACATTGGACTGCGCTCACTCTATAGTTGTAACATTAGGCTCTTTGCAGACAAACCGAGAGGGCACATGTGTGTAAAACATGTCGATCTACAGGAATGCCGTTTGGTTCATGAAGGGACTCCAGGAGTATACAAAGTAAGTGTCGTTCATACACTCAGCACTTCATTTATTTTGAAAAACACACTAATCCTGTTTGTGAAGTATTATCCTTGAGCTACCTATAGACTGTTACTGGTTAACTATCATGTGTTACACAATACTGTGTGCTGCTGTATGTTGCAACTAGTCTATAAAGCTGTGTAGAGAGAAGAGTTTTAAAGACCGGAAACAGTGAAAATGTGTAATTTATTTTTATTGACCATACCTGCACAAATGTCTGTGAAGCTCCTCCGCTGCACCTTTTTGCAAAAATGTGTTTTCTTTATTTTCTATAATATATTTTAACATTTTTCTCGTATTCTATTTAAATTCCCTGAGCACAGCTGTTTTTATAGCCTAGTTTTTACTATTCTATAAATCTGCAAAATAATGTGGTATGAATTGATGTCAGTAGCCGATGTTTATTTAATAATAATAATAATAACTTTATTTATATAGCACCTTTTTAAAAACACAGGTTTACAAAGTGCTTTGACAAACAGCAAAAACAAGAACAAACTAAACCAAACACAGAAGAACAGAAACAACAGCAAGAACATAAGAAATGCAAAATACTAAAAATAATTAAATACAATTCAACAGAAAAGAACCCATATTGCACGATACCCAACAGATATCTATAACCCGACCTTTATAAGAACCATCATAAGAATCCAGGCAATTTGTTGTGTCAAATCACTTGCTGGCATCTGGTACAGCTACCTACTGATTGAGAGAAGAGTTTAGTATTGGGAATATGTCCCCTGTTGTCAAACATGAGAGACAATGTGGGAGTCTTACACCAAAAGAAGTCATCATGTAACAAACATCGGTATCGGAAACAGCAAATGTCTTAATTGTTATTTCAAACATCGGCCTCCGTATCTGCCCTGATTATCACTATCGGTGCATCTTTTTTATTTGCTTATTGTTTTGAACCAAAACACCAAATCAGATTCCTTGTATGTGTAAATATACTCGACTATAAAAACTAATTCTGATTCTGGGATGTAAAATAACTTGTTCAACCTACATCAATGTGCTATTGGTTCAATCTGATCAACAATCAGCTATAATAATAATAAAAAAAGCTGTTAGAAGTTCATATTTTAAGTCAATGGAATAAAATGAACTCTTTGTGAAAAGAGACAAGAATGCTTAATTGAATAACTGTTGCATCACAGTTTTTATTACTATTGAACCTTTTCTAAACTATTTTCATGACGGTTTAAAGGAAGAGATGACTTCTGTGAAAATTGACATTTGTGGGTGACATGGTCTCATGTAATGAAACAGTGACTACATTGAGCCTTCAGTCACATGGTATCACATAAGAGGTACTCCTCTATGATGCATGATCTTTTCTGCAAATTGACTGCATGGCATATCTTTCTAAAAGAGAAAAATTGTAGGTTAATCATAGTTTGAGAAATTGTTACTGTAACAATTATAATATTGTTAATCTGAAAGTTTAAAGTCTGTCTGGCATCAAAGCTCATCCATGAGGGATGGAGTAAAAAGTTTAACTTTAAATTGTGTCTATTTCCAAACCAAGATTCTCTTTATATGATGCATACATGGTTTTGTCAAAGAATGGGATCTTAAAAAGCTCAGTCATGTATCATAAAACGTCCTCTACATGTATTTACTCTCCTACCCTTCATATTAACAGGAGTGGCTATGAAGCTGCAGCGAAGCATTTTGCTCCAGCTGACCTGGACGTGAACCTGAGCGGCAGGTCCTTCATGATCACGGGAGCAAACAGCGGGATAGGGAAAGCAACAGCGCAGGAAATCGCCAACAGAGGTGAGGGTTTTAAAGTTAGGCCTTCTTATTTCTTTTTCTACTGACGCTAGAAGAAGAGAAGTTCTTCTACTTTTTGTAAGAGCTACAAGGTGTGGCACCAGACAAGCTCTCAGTGTAAGAAACAGTACCTCTCTTGGTCTCGGTTTAAATCCTTTTTTTTTTCTTTTTTTTTACTAAAGTCCTGGATAGAAACCTTTTGTGAGACAACTTAAAGCCATCGACTCCTATCTGCTGCAGGTCTCAGATCATATGTTTAAAGCCCCTGTGAGGAATTCTGTCGATTTTGCCGCCCCCCCCCCCGTTTATCCAGTCTCTTTGCTCATCTTGTCCCGTACATGTTTGGTTGTGTTTTCTGACAAAAAATCTCATCCTGCTTTTTTTAAACAGCTGAATGTACCACATCTCAAGGTGACTCTTTGCTGTGGAAATTAGAAAAAAAAGGCAGTTTCTTCAGTGCAAAGTCATCTGACACTGTGACGCTCTCTGTGGAAACACTCAAGGCCTAACAAGTTAAAGAGAAAACGCCAATCGAGTCGCTGATAGTCCTCTGTGCTTTTTGGGTCATAGATGTCTGTCTCTATATGTCAGCACTGTGATTGTCTGTCGAACAGTCCAGGGTGTTACCCCACCTCTCGCTGGGATTGGCTCCGGCCCTCCTGCGACTCTGAACAGGAAAAAGGGTGTAGATAATGGATGGATGGAAAAAGGCATCAATATTTACTTCAGTCTTTTTTTCCATAACTAGGTAGGATAGATCGAATAAGCTGAATTAAGTAGGGTATAGTATAGTATACATGAGCGTCATTGAACTGTGTAGATATTGCACGGAGTACTGCACATAAGGTTTTATCTGTGAGGTGATGGAACTTGTCCACTGATGTGTTTCAAATGTTTTTTATTCTGCAGGAGGAACGGTTCACATGGTGTGTCGAAACAAAGGCCGAGCAGATGCAGCAAAAGAAGAAATAGTAGAAAAGAGTAAAAACCAGGTGAGACATGTTGTATGTCTGTCTGTACTGAAGGAGGGATACATTACCTGTTAACATCAGGCAAGTCCCTCTTCCTGTAGGAGATGAAAAAACATCCCTCTGTCTCAGATTTGTTGTGTAACAAAAGCAACTGGTCAAGATGAATGAATTACATAATAATCTGTCTTTTTTTTATTCATCTATCACCAACACAGAAGTGTTTTTAAATTGTTCAGCAGATCTTTAAAAAAGTCCCACAAGTGATTAAAAGCTCTTCTTCAATATTCTTCTGTCCAAATATTGACTGTATTTCATGTTTGCTGCCCCCCCCCCCCCCCCCCCCCCCCCAGGATGTTCACGTCCACGTGGTCGACATGTCAAGTGCGAGACAGGTGTGGGCGTTTGCTCTGAACTTCACAGAAAGTAACACCCTTCATGTGCTGGTAGGTGGGACGATATATGTGTTTGTGTTTGTTAATATGTAATGCACACACTTGTTGTTTATTCACCTGTCATGTTCTCCAGATAAACAACGCAGGCTGTATGGTGAACCAGAGAGAGTTGACTGAGGAGGGCTTGGAGAAGAACTTTGCCACAAATACACTCGGTAAGATATTTATAAATACAAGTTCAAGTGAAAGTTAAGGTAGTGATTCCACGACAACAGTGTGTTTAGACGAAACTTTAAATGTTTACACAAAAGCTTTGAGAAAGGCAATTGACTAAAATGTGATTTGTACCGAAAATAAAATGAACTATGAATCTTTGACAGCTCTGGAAACTCTTTGCTGCTGACACATACCTCAGTCACAAACAGACTTATTGATGTTCGATGCTCTGCACTGGACAGTAAAACTTCTATTTTATGAAACATGCTGCATGTTTACATCATAAAGGTGATGAAAAAACACTGACCCAAGTAAAGTCTTAGATAAACACCAAGCCCTCCATGAAAGGAGATCTATTATACTCACTTCAATTCAATTCAATTCAATTTATTTGTATAGCGTCAACTCATAACAAGTGTTATCTCAAGACACTTTACAAAAAGCAGGTAAAAAGACCTTACTCTTTGTCTGTTAACATTACAAAAGAGCAGGTAAAAAGACCTTACTTATTGCTATGTTACAAAGATCCGGCCTATCCATCATGAGCACTTTAGCAAAGCAGCAAAAGTTACAGTGGTAAGAAAAAACTGCCTTATTAAAAGGCAGAAATCTTCGGCCGGATCCCCGGCTCATGATGAAACAGCCTTCACAGGCCTAGACTGCGCCGGGGTTGGAAAGGGATAGGGGGAGAGATGGGATAAGATGCAGGAAGAGGGATAGGGAGCAAGGGGTTGGGGGGAGGCAGACCCTCCATCAACAATCCGGTGGGGAGGGAGGGGGGGGGTTGTTCTGGCCACTTTAACCATTAGTTATGTCAGTCTGGGACATCTATTGAGTAGTGTTGCGAGGTGACTCATTATTTATCTGAAACTGGCGTCAGTAAAAAATCCTAATTTCAGCCTCTGCCTGAAACGTTTAATTTCAGCTGCTGTCTCTTTAAGCCCCCTGTTTGACATCATCTTTTTTTTTCCCCAGCACACATTCATGGTCCACTTATGTGTCCCGACCCACCTGTTGAGAACCACTGATTTGATAAGAAAAAGTTTAGAAATTGATTGTCACCACGTCTACATACTCAGCTCATGATTATTGTCCAGATAAATGGATATTCCTCTTAAATCTTTAAAACACTTTTGCCTGAATGATAAAGAATTGTAAAAAAGAAATCAGCTTTTTATTTTCTTTGATCAACTAGTCGGTTAATTATCCAGTTGATGCAGCTTTACTTAGGAGTAAAAGAGATCTAATGAATTGAATGGTTAGCTGTTGAAGTTAATACAGATAATCATTTCTTACCTTTTATTTTCAGGTACGTACATCCTGACCACGGCGTTGATACCTGCTCTGGAGAAGGTGGAAGACGCGAGAGTGGTGTGTTCAATTTTGACCAAAGAAAACATGAGTCATCATGTCCAACACGAGTGACAATAAAAATCTATCAGATGTTTTATAATCAGACATTTATACTCGCAGTATGTGTGTTTGAGTTTCTTTATCTAAAGTTTAGTCTTGGCTGGTTTCTCCTCCCAGGTTACCGTTTCATCAGGCGGCATGCTCACACAGAAGATGAACGTGGACGACCTGCAGTTTGAGAAGGGGACGTTCGACGGCACCATGGCCTACGCTCAGAACAAAGTAAAGGACGCTAGGGTTGTCACAATCCCCGAATTTGAAACTTTGATACGACACCAATAAAAAAAAAAATCAAACGATATCATTACCTGTTTTGATACCACGGCAAAAAAAAAAGTAAAATCACACTAAAAGCACTTCAATATAAGAAAATATCTTGTTTTGAAATGCCAAAAATGCAGACAAATTTCTGCTCACTTTCTAAGTTGCACAAACACATTGACAACTTTTGGGTACTGAAATGTTGCCAATTTATTCATGCAATTTAGACTGTCACCTCCTCTGCTCGCTGTCTGTCTGAGATATAAATGTAATGTTTACATCTTTATGAGACACTAAAAGGACTTGACAAACGTCAGTATTTACCGACCTGTGGATGTGATTGGACCTCTCGTTTATAACTAAAAGTAACCTTTTGTAGTTGTTGCTTTTTTAACTCTGGTTCTTTTCCGATTATTAAAATAACCACTATCATATTGTTTGGGTATGAAAGTATTTAACAGTTTGACAGCCTGAAAGTAGACTGACTCACAGCAGCTTCACTCCAGAGTGATGAGTGAAACTGCAGCAGCTAGTATTTAGTATTTATTTGTATTCACATGTTGTTGTTTTCCGTTGGACAGAGACAGCAGGTGATTCTGACGGAGAGGTGGGCTTCTGAGCACAAAAAGATCCACTTCTCCTCCATGCACCCTGGGTGGGCAGACACACCAGGTAAACAGCAGGAACGATGACTGTAAAATAAAGACTCGGATGCTGCACACTGTGCAGAAGACTCATTCATATAGCCCTCAGATCTTGTAATGTTGAGATGTATTAGTGAGTTTGTATCTTGAATATCTCTCTCTGTATTTTCACAAGGTCTGAGTTTTGTGTTCTCAACTTTGTGTTTATTTGTGACAAGAGTTGTAGTGTAGGTGTACATCATCAGATAAATGCATACAGACATACAGGTATGACTATATCAACAACATAAGATAACAACATACACCTCCTTCTCTTAACCCCTACCCCACCCTCAGGGGTCTTTGTCTGAAATACACAAAATACTCATTTTACTAATTGACAGTTTTCAAAGTAAGTCAGAAAAACAATTAGCTAAGTACCTAACTACATTCAATAGAAAAAAAACCCTATAGGGTAAGAAAGGACAAAGGATATTTCCATCCCGGCCCTGGGAGCGTTCAGCACTTCTACACAAAAGCAGCTTTTACTCTTTAAATAAAGAACTTTCCTGCTGGATGAGACGTGTTGGTGACAAGGAAAACAAAACAAAAAGAATGACATAAATGGTGTTTCTTCTCTGCAGCGGTCCAGACATCCATGCCTTCTTTTCACGCTAAGATGCAGTCCAAACTGAGGACCGAGGCCATGGGGGCGGACACGGCCGTGTGGCTCGCCATGTCTCCCGCCGCCATCAAGCAGCCGAGCGGACTCTTCTTCCAGGGTCAGAACAACTTGTTCGTCTGTGTTTATTTATCGTATTAGGACAGTGATATGTATCTATATACATATTCCATTTGAGCAGAACAGCAATATTAATCTAAATACATTACTATGTCGGTAATATTACCAACGTTATCCTGTTGTTGCGTTTTTCATAACCCAAGACATTTCATATATTCAATTCTATTTAAATGTTGTGCAAAAGATGTGTTCTAGATGTTAGTAGCATAAATTGACTAAAAATGTATTTCTTTGTTTAACCATTTCTTGTCAAATGAAAACATGACCTTGGCTGATGTGTTTCTGTAACTCGTCTTCCAGATCGTAAAGCGGTGGCCACTCACCTCCCTCTGGCCTACTCCAGGTCGACGCCGCAGGACGAGCAGAAACTTCTGACAGCACTGAAGGAGTTCGCCGATAAGTTTAAACCTTAAACTCTCTGTGAATGTCTTTGAGAGAAAAAAAAACAAGCACTCCTCAATAATGTTTACAGGATCAGGTTGTTTCACTACATACAAAAAAACCAAAACTTCATAAAAAACATTTTAATGGTAGTAGGTGTTTACATGAAGGAAGAATCCTTTTTTTGTTTTTCTGATAAAATGTGTCAAAACTATAGTTTAAATTTCCTTTACTGAGTTCCTTAAAGAAAGTAAGATGCAGCATACTGTATTTATTAAACATATGGGGAGACATATATATATCACTGTTGATTTAATATGAATGTAATGCAAAATACAAATGTGTGTATTCATTGCTATAAAACATCTTGTTTAATTTCTACCCACTTTTTGGTGACCAAGTGGTTGGTTTGAAATATTTTCAAATAAAAGTTATTTATACATTTTCTTTCTCTTCTGTATCTCTTGTGTCTCTGTAATCGATGTGTAGATATGATATGAAGATCCAATGTGACAACAGACGGTGAGCAGCTAACATTTCACATTAGAGGTGTGTCTGTTAAAATGATGAACATTAAAATGAACAGGATTAATATGCAACATCATTAACAGTGTATGTTTTGATTGTGACTCTTTTCAGCAACTTAAAAAATGTCCAACGGGTTCCAGTGTCCGAGTGGTTAGAGACCACTGACTCATGTACAGAGGCTGTAGTCCTCAAGGCGGGCAGGCGGCCAGGGTTCAGATCAGACTTGTGGCTCCTTGCCTGCATGTCATTGCCCCCTCTCTCTCCCCCCCCCCAGTTTCTGACTCTTTCCACTGTCCTGTCTCTAAAGAAAAGCACAATAAGGACAAAAATGAATCTGTAAAAAGAAATGTAGGATCAGCTGCACAGGAAGATTTCTAAAAGCAAAAAGTGGAGAAATCCCCCCCAACAGGTCATTGTCATGAACTGGCTCAAAGTGAGTGACAAAGAAGGGATATCACACATGAAACAAGGTTTAAAGTAAAATGAATTTATTATAAACCAAAGTTAAAACAACCATAAATATGTAAGTCTGATAAATCAGTCATGTATGGATGAGTGGAGTTTTGTGAAGTGCTAACAACACCAAGCCAGCTGGTGGAGGTCTGGGAGGGAGGAAGAGAGGAGAGAGAGATGTCAGAGTGGAAGATATTTACATAAGCTGAGGCCTGATGAACTCATGTGTAAACACTTTCCTGGTGTCCTTCCCGACTCTGCCTATTGGCTGCTGAGCCAGGAAGTTAAACGCATGTGGGCAGAGAGGGCAGGACGTCACATATAGTAATACAAAATGAAGACAAACATCAGACTCCAAACTGTAGACGTTGATAAACCTGCTGTTTTAATGTCATACACTAACATGGTTACATTTATGGACACTGAAAACACGACAATGCCTGTTTAAACATCCTGCAGCAGAAAAATAGACCACTGGCCACATTTAAATGAAATCAGCCGATCAGATCATTATTGTACATGCTGCACATTTGATTATGTCTTATAACTTTGTATTTGCATGTTTCAGCCACTAAAGATTGCAGGGATATGTGACAAGCTTGTTTTTTTTTTAAAAAGTTGTTCTTTTATGCTACTAGCTCAGCCAGCCGCTGTTTTCCCTTAATTTTCTGCTCAGTGACAAACGAGTAGCTGGAAACAGATTTTTCTCAGAAACTCTGGAATGATGCACCCTCAAAAAAAAAAAAAAAAAAAAATGCATTGCAACCATGCATTTAAAAACGGCAAAAAAAAAAGGAATAGTTGAGGAGTTGAAACCTCAGGAAAACACTGATATGGTTCTTGAAAGTCTAAGTACCGACAGGCTCACATTCAGCGTCAAATCTGCTGTCAATGTACCTTAACGGATGGTGTTCTGTGAAAGTGTAGACAAGCTTATTTTGATAGTCAGCTCTACGATTGAATCCATTCAATCAAATCTATATTTAAAGTCTTGAACATGAACTCCATCCCTAAATATCAAACATCTTTGGAAAATACTCAGTGAGCTTACAGGACACAAGTCGAGTTACCAATCGGATCATGAGAAGCACAAACGAGACGATCACACAAACACGATATTTTCTCTTCACAGCAGCGGTTTTGTGACATATTTTCGCTTCTTGATTCCAGTGCATTGACATTAAAAAGTCAGTAAACAGTATTGGGATGATAAAAAAAAAAAAAAATGGTTACAATGAGAACAAAATCAAAATAACCTTTAGTTCTGATGCATGATATGTGCATTTGCAGGAACATTAAGACTTAGAATAATAAATAATCTCATAAAACAGCCGACAGTAGAGGACAGACGAAGAGCACAAAGCATTTTGATTGGTTAATTTACAGATTATAAAACCTTACTCTGCACTTCAGTGGATTTTAGGCAACTCATAGTATTCTGTGCTTACACTTGCTCTGATTCGACAGCATTTATGTTTTGGTTTTACATCATCAAGAGTCTTGCTGCATCAGATGTCATCAATTTAAACACATTATCCTGAATATTAGCCGGTTATACTCAATGTCTCGGTTAACTTTTACAACCTGAACTTTAATTGAAACATAACTTTTTGTGAGCCAGGACCTTTTATTTCGCTACAGAGCATGAACTTGTCGTCATGAAACATGAGGTTTAAAGATTTTGCTTGATATCTAGGGTTCTCTGAAACACTTAGTGGACCGGGTGGAACAACATTAGCTGCTTCAGGGAGAGGTCATCTGGTAAAGTGGCCTAAAACATCCTTACATCATTTTACCCAAATTGATTTAAGCTATGAACATCTTCGAGGATATCTAGATACCTCAGTGTGTTCACACCTGGTCCACTGTGAGAGCAGCAGGAACATGATGACACGTACGGCTTCTTTGTGTATTTAGATAGAGATTACAAGCTTGGATTACAAATGTGTCCATCATTCTTTTCTCGATTGGCAGAGAGGACAGGATGTACAGCAGCCCAAAGGGCTAATTTGATCAAATCCATGGACTCATATGAACAGTTTCCTCAGAGCTAGATGGTAAATAAAATGTATCTAATACCATTTGATGAGTTCAGAAAGTAGAACGATATGATTTCCTTGCTCCTCTAACATAAGAAAGAGGACAAAACATTGTGAGTGATATTTATGAACCCGTAAACAGAATTAGCGTGTCTCATACAGTTTCAGTCCAACCTGCTCCGCTCGTTAGCAAAGAGAGAAATGCTTCAGGAGCTGCAGATAAACTGTAGATCTGCTCACCAGCACCAACTTCAGGCAAGGCCATGCAACAGCATGCACAATGTTGACACCCCCGCCACCTTCAGACAATGAGTCACAAATGACAGTACTTTAACAAAACTTCTGTAGTGTTTGTTGATAGGTTTTAAACTTGACATTACAAACATGTATAATAAATATCCCTCTTCTTACGCTCATGAATTGCCCTAATCTAGATTGTCTTTGTCCAAAGGAAACAGTGACTTTACTTTATGGGAATTCAAAAAGAGGGAGAAAAACTAACAGTAGATTAAAAGGATGATCAGACTGTCAGCATGAAGTGCTCATGCTTTAAACCAGGGTTGGTCATTTTTTCTTCAGATACACTCTTTAAGATTTTGGTTGAAATTGTCTTTAGGTACTGACAGAAATTAATAACTCGTGCTCTGAAAAAGGAACGGAGAAAATCCGTCATCTGTAGCCGGTGTAAACCTGTAAAAACTTTGACAATGTCTGCCACGAGGTACCAATCTGATGAACCAATCACACGCCTCCCTGTCTCCCTGCTCGTTCTCTACATCTTGAGCGCACTAGCCCACACTCAAAGCGAGTCACCGATGACAGAGTTTATCGTGAGTTTGTCATTGGCCGTTGTGAGTAATTACGGTAAATAGTCGCTTTTTAAAAAAAAACATGTATTATGATGAAGTTTAGTGTTTACGTACCGCTGAATGAGACAGGAGATGACAGTTTCTACACAATTCAAGCGATGAGCTGAGGTCCGCTTCTCTTATGCAATGGCGCTCGTGCATGTAAGTGAGGGGCGTGGCTTTTGACAGAGCACTGAGGGAATGCTACTTTCAAAATCATGCTAGTTTCCAAAAATTAGCAACCCTGCCTTCAACCTCGAAATCAGCAGGAATGTTTTTTTTTTTTTACTGGAAGCATCTTAGCGTGGACATCAGACAACTTTAATTGTCTAAACTTTTCATTATTTTGAGCAGTTTTAGGACTTTTAGGATAGATCAGAGATAAACAAAAAGCCTATCTACTCATGACAGCTACAAAAAATGTTTTAGAATACAAAAGTAAATAGACTTTGAGATTAGACTCATTTACCACGTCGGTGTTCTGCACTACAAAAGTGAAATGTAGCGGTGACACTTTGGTATCACACTTTTACTTGTTAATTTAACAAACAGTTGGTCACGTTTAGAATTTTAAACATAAAACAATGCAAAGAAAATTAAGCTAGTCCTTGAATTAATGATTTGCCTGTAGGGGGGCGACGTCAACATTTTTATAGCTAAACTGCTGCTGCAGTTACTTGACTTTCCCGTAGGTGGTGCAGGTGTGCAGAAGTAGAGATTAAATGTATTTTATTTGTGGAGAATTGAAGAATTGCTTAATGTGAGTGAATTTGAGTTTGTGAGTAATGTAGAAGTTTCTTTAAATGCTTCACATCTAAAACACGTCCGGGTTTAACGGTACCGACTCACACAGTGCAGAAATGTTTCACTCACTCTCTCGTGATTCTCCAGAATGAAATCAGCAGGAATGCATGAAAATTAAGAAAATAAAGTGTGTCAAACCCATCCCAAACACTCACTCACAGGACACACACAAAAAAACACATCCAGATATCCCTCACCCAACTGTAGCCATCACACAAAAAAACACTCACGACCGCCTGTAACCTCGTGTCCACCCAGGTCCTTCCTGTTCCCAGGCTCCACTGGCCTGCAGTGTCCTCACTGTGAACGTCTAACAGCCGCTGCTTGTTGTTCAATAACAGTTATATATTATCCAGATGAAATCGATATTGTTGGACAAGTTTCCCTCTTTCTTCCTCAAAGTGTGGCTGCTGCTGCCTCCGAAACAAATCACAGTTTGGTCAACAGCGCTTCCTGCTGATGGCCGGTCGTCCACAGACCTCAGGACACCACAGGAGTCATGTCCCAGAGCTGCAGATGAACAGAAGACAGAATCAGGTTGTTACCTATCAGTGTGATCCAGCTGGTAGAGACACATTTGTATGCCCACTAGATTTAAAGCTCAGGCAGAGATGAGAAATTTAAATATGCGCTCAGTCAACAATGGAGATAGACTGCCTGTAGGATTTACAAGATACATCTTAACACCTACAACAACAAGTTAGATTTAGGCATTTAAATGCTCAAAAACTGATGGTGTATTTTAAGGAATACATGACTGACAAATTATTAATCATTGTAGACCATTCAGATAACCAGTGACTAAAAACTAGAGTTAAGAAATCCTTTCAGATTAGCAGTCATGTTGATAGTACCAGGAACATTCCTGCTTTTTGAAAAGGGTTAATCTCAGAGAAACAATCAGCACATTTTCAGGAAACAAAATATTAGTTGGTTCCAATAGAAGAAAAATAATATCCAATAAAAAAATAAGAAATGTCCATTCAACTGTTGCAAATGATTTATAGTAATTTGATTTACTCAAATACACAAAAATACTTAAAAGATGAAGGCTGTTAAAATTGTACTCATCATTTCTCATCTTCTTTGGCCCTCTAACAACATCTAGTTTGTATACATTTTATATTCAGCTGCATATTTCTGAAGGATTTATTCAAACACCACTGAATGTGACAGACAGCTCGGGTACTCTGTGGCACTCTGGATAATCTGACAGATACTTAATCATTACAGGATACATACATAGTGTACTTATAGGAACAGAGCGGGGCCCTGGCAGCCTAATTTAGACATAATCTTAATAAAAGAGAAGGACTGAAAACATAAAGCTATTGGCAGAGAAAAGAGCTGACACTGCTAAAGAGTGATCAACTAGCTGTTACTGTGTGTGTGAGACAAATAAATAGACTCATCACTGAAAGCAGCAGACCTTGATAACTTTGTCAGTGCCAGAGGTGAGCAGATTCCCCGTGGTGGGCTCATAGTGCATGTAAACAATGCTGTGCTTGCTGTCGTGGAAGGTGGCTGTGGGCGCTCGGCTGGAAGACACAAAGGGAACGTCCGTTATTTTACCGATGTGAGAAATCCGGAAAAGCTGCGGGCACAAAGAGTCAGTATATGACGACAACAGAGGCCGATTGTTACTCACTCCTCGTCGGTGATGGACTCGTGGCAGCTGTCACACACACGCACCTCGAACTCGAAGCCCATGAGGGGGATGGTGGAGCGTTTGGATGAACATTTGCCGCATACCGCCTGGCCGCACTTCCTGCAGTGGTGCTGAGGAACACAGGATAACCTCAACATGTCGGCTTTGGATAACAAAAGTGTCGTTTCTAACCAAGGAGGAGCAGGGCTGGACTGAAGGTCTTCTCACCATACCCAAAATGAATTCCTTTTCTTCTAAAAACAGACTTCAAACATTTCTTTGCACAAGCTTTTGGCTGAATCCTAAATAATTCCAGTGTATCTTGCACTTTATCTAGGAAATTTAGCTTCTATTTAAATATATAATTTACAAAATTATATACTTAATCCTACTTCTTTTTATTGTGTTGCCATTTCATTTTATGTATTTTTTAACATGTTTTTTTTCCATCTTGTGCTTTTATTGTATTATGTTGTGATCATGTATGTTGTCTACTATTATTATTATTTTAAGAAATTATTTTTGGGTGGAATGAGGGAGAGAGAGAGAGAGAGCAGGAAAGGAGCAACAGGTTGAATTCCAACTCGCTTGGAGGACTACAGCCTCCAAGGGGAGCGCACGCACTAACCACTATGCTACCTGCGCCTAAATCTACTTTTATTTTTAAGCAAATTGAGCTTATGCTTGTCATATGAAATGAGCTTCATCAATAAAGTTGACTTGACTTTCTGCTGGAATGATCCAACAATAAGTCCTCTCCCGCCCGATTGTGCAACACGACCGGCTGATTATCAAATTAATTCATCACACACATCCTCTCAAGACATATACAAAGGATAACGCACACTTTGATCAATTGTTGATGAGGATACCAAGACATTTGAAGTTAGAAAGGCTAAAAGGTAAATCACATGTAATTGGTGTTTAATGACAGTCATTTTCAATTTGTCAAGAGCCAAATGGAAACCTGAGCTAGTGAAATCACTTGTTGATGATTTTATGACAGTGTTTATCTTTTGTACGACTCTTCTTCGTCTTTTATGGTCCTTTTTATTTCTGTTTCTTTCATTATTTTCTATCGACTTTGCCAGGAAGGGATGGTTTAAACCCCTTCCAAGATTGCTGTGAAGTCGGAAAATGGATTCACACACACGCACGCACGCACGCACGCACGCACACACGCACACGCACGCACACGCACACGCGCACACACACACACACACACACACACACACACAAAGCTGTTCCTCGTGGTGAGACGATAAAACAGCCACAGGACGTTTGTTGGCCATTAGTGAAGCAGGAGTAAAGAGTCGTTTGTGTTTCCTGGGAAGTTATTATTATCAAGAATTCAGGGTGCAGTAGAGCTACTGTATTAACTTTCATTCTAAACTTTGGTGTTTGATAATTTGACGTCAACTTGCTTTTTACATGAAGTGGAAATAAAAATAATCGAGAATGGCTTTTCGTCAGTACCTGTCGTAGGCCGATCTTCTTGCTGTCCCACATCTGTTTGAAGTTCCAGAAGAACGGCTGCTCACACTTCTGACACGAGTCACTGTCCAACCACTCGGGAGTCTGTGCAAACACACAGTTTGAAATGATCTGTCATCCTTTTTCTCAATACACGACTCATCTTTACACTCATGACTGAGTATATAAAGAGAAGTGTAGCTATGGCATTCCTTATCAAAACAATATTTCAAGACTCATGCAAGTACTTGCACTAAAATATGTGTTTTAAAAAATAACTTGTGGTTTTTCTTCTTGTGGAGTTTGCTCTCCTATTAGCTACTGTTAGGGAAAATCTCACTATAATAATGTATGTGTAAGAAGAATAGAAATAGTAGATGAGGTAAAACATCTTTGTCATTCTAAATTGGGACAAAAAAAGCAATCACAGGAAAAGCAAACATATTTTGTGCGATTGAAAGAGGCAACAGATTGATCCTCAGGAGAATTTAAAGTGACTGTGGATAAATAAAGACAAAATCTAGTCCAAACTAACTGTGAGGAGACTGGCAGAGCGCAGAGGGATAAGAGAGGAGGTTGAAGATAGACTGTGTGTGTGTGTGTGTTTCTAAGAGAGAGAAAAAAATCAATGAACATTCTGCTAATCTGGTGAACTCGCAGATCTCCGAAGAGAATTTACTCCAGAGTAGGAGGTAAAGCAAACAGCAGCACTTGATCCACCTCACTGATAAATCTGCACATGTACATTTCCACATTTTTTTCTTTACAATGTGTCCTCGTTGGCAGATTGAGTGTTTGTGTGTAGGGTTCAGAGCCCTTCCTCTTCTCGCTCTCTCACCTCTTGACGGGTTACGTCCATGTTCCAGATGACGATGCCGCCATCTGAGCTGCAGGAGATGAGCTGACGAGTGTGTGAGGCGTAGCACAAGCCCTGAACCTTTTCACTGTAGGACAAACATGAAAACACACATATTACACACGTGTAAAAAAATATTTTCAAATACATCCGAAAATGCAAATTGCTACCCCAAAAAATGCTCGTCTTAACTTCCTAAGCCCCAATAGTGACATCATCAAACTTCTATTCTGTTTGATGATTCAAATCCAACAGATTTTCAGTTTACAAAATAAATAAAAAACACAAGAGCAGAAAAATATTTAGTCAGAGCCAGAAAATATTTCTGCATGAACAAAAATGTATTTAAAAGTATGAATTAATCATTAGCGCAGGGGTAGATCATTTTTGTTCATAGATAAACGACTTCATCATTTTAGCCCTCATAGAAGCGATACAGAAATGTTGCTAAGTCTGCCCTAGAAAAATTGTTTTTGAAGCTTTTACATGAAGTCACTTTGAGGATTATTCAAATAAAAACTCAACTTGTTTAAGTTGCCTTCACATTGACGGAATATTTGAAAGAGACGACACATAAATAATTATTCCTTCAGAGGCTGATTGGTTTGCAACGGAATAAATGGAAACACATTAAGAACCCGTCATAATATAAACATTAAGAAAAGTAAATGATGGTGGAATTAACTGCTCAATAATGCGCCTGAAACTGACAAAAGCAATCTATCAAAGTGAAGAAGAAAAACACATATCTAAGACAGGGTTGTTCAGATGGCAGGACAAATTCCCCTTGGGGCGATGAACGTTTCATTTATTCATAAGAGAGGGTGTTTGTGATTCTTACTTGTGTCCCTGCATCTCGATGGCGGTGCCTTTGCGTCCTCCGATGTCCCACATGATTATGGAGTGATCCGAGCTGCCGGAGAACAGAACCCTCTGGACCGGGTCCCAACACAGAGCCGTCACATTACCTGTAGCAATTCATGGATACAAAGACAAACAAATATGTGAGTGAAATATATCCACACACACTCAATCGCAGAGATCAGTTCAGACAAGCGTTCATCAGGCAAAGGTAAAAGCACAAAAATGATCATGATTCTGAGGATGAGCCGTCTCAGAGTTAATTATCTGCTGGCCATTTATCTCAAGTGATGAACTCAGAAAGTGGTTTGTCTCTCCTGGGAGGCCAGGCACATGTCTGTCTAAGACTTGTTTAATGTACATTTAGTTTAAAAACATTACTCTTCCGTAAACCTTTATGATGTCTCTTTTTATTCCTTTCGTAATATTTAAAATAAACATTGAATTATAAAAGAATGACTGTTGAAAAATCATTTCTCTGAATTCTGGTTCTTGTTCTTGTCACTGAACACATCTTCAAACTAATTGAGATGCCTCTTTGTCTTTTATCTCCAACCATCAAGCTTGTATCTTTTAAGACATTTTTTCACAGACGCTTTCGTTGGAGAAGATTCTAAAGTGACAGCATCAAAGATTTTCTCAAACACTAGATCATCGGGGACTTACAGCTCTTAAAAAACACCTCTTAAAAGTCTCAATAAACCTGAACCTGGTCCGGGCTGAGAGAGACATTAAGGCTTAAACTATTATGTGACATTTAATGCAGCGACTGTCTGAAGCTCTGTGTTTTATGAGCGGTTCCTCTAAATATCTAAAAGCACAAACAAATATTTTTTCTTCTTCCTCTTGTAACTGTTGACAGCTAGAAAAAACAAAGCCAGATAAAGACATGAAGAAAAGCTTCTTGGTCATTCCTGCAAACTCATTTAAAAAACAATAGTCGTTAGTAGTCCATAGTAAATAGTTCTGAGTTCCTTTCAAGCAGAGCAGGAAAAAAAACAAGACCAAATCAATGCAATGAAACAGTCTCCTTTAATACAAGGCCGTAATAAATTTGGTCCATTTTATTCTCCTCCTGTTTGGAGTTACTCTGTTCTGGTGTGACTTTCACGCTGCTTAATGTTTGTTTGTTCTGCCTTCATGTAAATGTCCTTCAGTGTTTGTAATAGTGGACAGCATGGTAGTGACAAAAAAGTCTGACTTGCAGAATGACAACACAAATCATTCATTGGTGCACCTTAGTAGTAGCATGAGATGATAGTGTATTAATACAGACAGCCCTAGTTTAGCCCATTTACTATACTGCAGCAGGAATTCAGAGCTTCATCAACGTGTGCTTCTGCCGCAATTTACAATTATTTCATTGTTAGTTAATGCCATTTTTTAGGCAATGAATACAATAACTGTAATAAAACTGGCCAACACAATTTCCCTGACCTTAACATGATATGTTTCACTGTTTTGTTTTGTCAAAAGAACATCCCTTACCTTTTTGATTTTCAAATTAAAATCATGTTCAGTATGTGTGTGTGTGTGTGTGTGTGTGTGTGTTGCATACCCGTGTGTCCCTTGAATGTGGTGACCAGGCTGCAGCTGTCCTGCTCCAGTTTCAGGATGGTCACCTGGCCGGACTGGTCCCCGACAAAGGCGTGTCTGGTCTCGACATCAAATCTGAGAAATGATTAAGGTCAAACTGGAAGAAAGTGGGGGCGCGCTGGTGGTGCAATGGTTAGGACGCGTGTCCCATGTGCTGGGGCTCTCGTCTCGAGCGGCAGGCCCGGGTTCACCTCCACCCGTGGCCCCCCTCCGCATGTCATTCCCCACTCTCTCCCTGATTTCCAACTCTATCCACTGTCCTCTCTCTGCATTAAAGGCACAAAAAGCCCAAAAATAAATCTTTAAAAAAAACTGGAAGAAAGTGAACTGTAAGAAAAAAAAAAAATTCATGTGGCTCTGGATCATAAAAACACAGACCTAACAATCAAAGCCACACTATGATTTCTACACTGCTTATAAATGAAACAGTTATAATGGTGTGTTAACTATAAAATGTAGACTGTGGGTCAAAGCAGCAGAGATGTCTGCTTAATGAGCCAGCCCGTCGCTGACCTGGTTAAGTCACTACTGACCAAATCACCACAGCCTCGTCCGCAGTCAAGAAGAGAAAAGCAACAATGGCATAAGCTATGCCCTGATTAGAATACTATGTAATATGCTAAAACCGCATCAGGAGTTTTCAATTCATTGAGCTCTCTGGGACCCTAAGAAGATATATTCAATAAACAAGTATATACCAGTGACTAGAAACAAAGCGAGAAGGTTCCTGGTTCGATCCCCCCCTCAGACAGGGCTGAACAAACTGTGTGGGTTCTCTCCAGGTACTCCAGCTTCCTCTCACAGTCCAAAGATATGCTTGTTAGGTTAATTGGTGACTCTACATTGCCTGTAGAGAAATGAATGTGAGTGTGGCTGGTTGTCTGTCTCTGTACGTCAGCCCTGTGATTGACTGGTGAACAGTCCAGGTTGTACCCCGCGTCTCGCCCAATGACAGCTGGGATCAGCTTCAGCGACCCCGAATGAGAAAAAAGTGGTGTAGATAATGGATGGATCGAAACACTGATTATGTCAATCTCAGTCCAACTGTATATCAATCAAATCACTATTTGGATATCATTAATGTTTCAAGTATTTCATTAAAAATACAAAGAACATGCAGCAAAATCTGAACAGTTCAAACTTTTCTTATCCGCCACAATTTGACAGGTGACAGGTTATATTTGTTGTTTTACCTTAACAGTTCAAATGAGCCAGGGAAACGTCAGAGTGCCATGAGACGGGAGGACCGTGTTAAAAAGATGTTTGTTTAGAGTTGCTATTTCTGTGATAAAAACAAAGCTGAAAGAAATGATGCTGATTCACTGTCAATTCATTTGTCAGTTATCTATATTTTAGGTTATTTTGATACTTCTTCTTAAAGATGGTACATCTATGCTAGCACCAATGACAGTTCATTAGATTGCTTGAGATAATGTTTTTTTTTTAAAAATGTCCTGTCACTGTTTCAGTCTGAGTTGCGCTGACTTGTTCCAAAACAAACAGCTCCCACCGTGAAATTCAAACAACCAAATAAAAACTAGACAATAAAAAATGTGTACTTTAAAATAGAGCTGTCTGTATGGTGTCGTAGAGTACAGGCCTTTGTAGTAAATTACAGAACGGCTCGTTCAGGTCATAGTCTCAAATAATAGTCTTTCACATATTTAAATTATTATTCTATCAGATTGTATCCAACATTTGCAGGGCACACACACGCAAAAAATATGGTCCCACAACTGAAGTTCCTGAAAAAAAAAAAAAACTCAGCTACTCGTAGCATTGATTCTCATTATAGCGCCGTCGTACTCTGTTGCTTCGTCCGCCACTTCTGCATCGTTCTTTTGATGTCATGTCTCAGGAGACCCCTGCCAGATCTCGAGGATTTCACGGGCAGTCTTCATAAAATTCTCTGGATATTTACTGGAGTGCACATTGTATGTGGAAAGGGCTAAAGAGTAGATGGCAGAGGGCTGGACCAAGTGTGGTAAACGTAAGGAGGGGGGGTTTGTTTTGTTGCAAGAAAACCGACTAATAGTCCCAAATCTTAAAATTCACAATAGTTTAATTTATGTACTTAAAAGATGCCTAATTTATCTTGCAAAATCTCCTTTTTTATATATAGTAAAAAAATAGGGTGCACACTATTTATCAAAACATGCTTAAATATTTTATTTAAATATAGGTCATGTTTACTATGCATCCAGTGTACAGAGAGAGGAACCCTTCAGGTTTGGAACCATCTTTGTTGAAACCAAGATCTGGGTAAGCAGTCATTTTCAGAGATAGGGGTTTATACAACTCTTGTTTATACAAAAGCATTTAAATTAGAGTCACTGAAGTGAAACTGAAACAACAAGTAACCAGATGTCTACAACATATCCTCTTTATTCTTCCCTGTTAACTACAAAACAAAACACTCACGGGCACTCGTGCAATGTGGATCGAGCCAGTACAGCCACAGCCCTGTCTCTCACATCTGAGGTCACTCCAAACAGAAGCAGCAGAGGTCACTGCTCAGCGTCTCTTACTGATTTTCTTGCCCTACTGGTCAGACAGGTTAGCATGTAGAAGCTAGCAGGCGACTAGCAGTGAGAAGACCTCATGGCAGCCTCATTGGTATGGATCAGTGTGGCTGCTGAGCACTCACAGTCTTTCATGTGGCCATTACAGACACCTCCTCACACCGTTTCCTTGACAACAGCATGACTGATGCCTATTGTTAGCCCTTTTCCATTAGAACAAACTAACTGGAAGCTAATCTCAATTGCCCTTTCTTGTGTTGCTGCGGCCTTAAAATAGACTGTGTTGTCATAATAAAAGGCAGAGATTTTTCACAGTTCAACACACCAAAGATGGCTCGACACTCTGTTACGTCCACTCCACTCCATTTAGCAGGAAGCTTAACTGTCAGGTTCACTGAACTCACTCCAGGGGCCAAGTAGCCCACAAATCAAGACAACAATCAGAGCAGGAGGGTGCAGGGGGGCATTAAAGGATACTGTAGTCCTGAAACCCAGGCGGCGGTGCGGTACGTTCCCAGCTGCTGACCGCTCTCTGAGCAGTGCCAGGTGAAGTTTTTGTCCTGGCCGGTGCTCAGAAGCCACTCCATCTCCAACACAAACAGCACCACAGTCACTCTGCCTTGATGGGCTGCAGGAACACACAACAAAACATTTATACACTACTTAAGGTCCATTTTCAAACTTGCATCAAAAATTCCCAAAATACCCCACAATCAACAAAATTTGTATTCTGTACTTGCAAAGAAATGTGGGTTATACACCCGATTTTGGACAGCATTGCTCAAGACAGTAGATGGTGCTACAGTGGAGAATCACACTTTCTTTAAGCCTCAGAAGTCTGCAATAGAAATGTTGTTTCAGTGTATATTTTGGTACATTTCATCTTTTTGCTGTAATTTCTTGGGAGTGTTTTAGAAGGCTTTATACATCTAGACTTACAAATGCTAAAAGAAAATGTTACAAATCCACAAACTATATGACCTATTTACTTGTTTCAGTTTTCAGAAATGTAGATTTTTATGAGCGGAGAGCATAGTTGTTTTGCGGTGTACCATCACTCATGTCTCTGCAGCTGAATATCACAGATAACTCGTCTTGTGCAGAATGCTATGAATATAATAAGTGTTAAAAAACACCCATCTCTCCAGACACTATGAACAGTGTGTTGTAAGACAGGCACAGAAAATAGTGTCTGAACCAGACCCACATTCCTCACTCTGAGTTTCAGCTTTTAAGATGCAGGGTCCCTCACACCAGGCTGAACCACAAATACATTCATTTGTGCCGATTGTCCATTAATATTCTGAATAAGAGGTAATGAAGGATGTGCCAAGGAGCTGTGCAATATCTCAATATGTCACTACTACAGAAGGTGTTTTTATGTATAAGTGGAATTGTTACATGTTTTGTATAATCTCTATTTATGAACTTTTCAACACCAGGGAGTCCAAGAAAAAATTCCCCTTGGGGACAGTAAAGTATATCTTCTCTTCTCATTTTGCAGTAATATGACGAAAATAAAAGCAAATAATAAGGGATGCACGGATGTATCAGTTGAACACCGCTGTTGGCTGATGCCTGCCCTGTTGACAAACAGAATGTAGCATGAACCTATGTCAGTAACTAACGTTTATCTGTTATGATGCATCGATTAAACGCTGGCAACCAAACAACCAAGCTACTGATTCAGAGAAGAGGATCTTTATTGGGCAGAAGAAGTCATCTGTTGGACAGACTCTACTTTGTTTTCATGGTCAAAGGTGACAGTAAACCCTGGCAGCGTGGGAGTATTTAATCGTCACTGGAAAAGATCAGCCACATGCAGTTTGTAAGATATGTTCCAGTGACATTTCAAGAGGAGGAACTAAAAGCATACATTTAAAACAACTCTTATGAGCTCATCTGAAAAAGAGACATGAAGAATTAAATAAAGTAATGAAAAGTAAATCAGTATCAGCTAGATTGTTATCTCAAAAATTGTATCTCTACAAATAATCTCAATCTAAAGCTTTGACTAAAAGTAGGACAAACCTTTTAAATTTAATTTAAACATTACATTTGTCTTACCACCTTTAATAAATGTTTCAAAACAAACCACCCAGTGGTTTCTTTCAGTTCTCCTTCACAAGTTTTATATTAACCCACTCAAACACACATTCATAGTTCCTGTCTCACCCTGGTAAGTGTTTGCTGGGGTCATCTTATTGTAGTCTTCTGACAGGATGAACTCCTGAAAGACAGGATGTGGACACAGAGGTCAGTTACTGAGGTTTCCAGACAGATCCAGAAATGGCAAACCAATTATATTACAGTGTGATATTGAAGTATTTAGTTATATTAGAGTATGACAGGACCCTTTAAAAACTCTCACATTGTTATTCTAAGGATTGAATCTGAGGCAAAGGCCTGTAGGAAGATTGATACGTTCCTCTTCCGCTTAGTAAAATGTAAATGCAAATCAATTTAGACAGAAAAGGCCTGTCAGGCCTTCAAAAAGAAGAACAGCTTGTGCTCTTACTGACACTGTACTTTAGTGTGAATTAACACCCATACCAAAATAACTTGAAGTTTTCATGTTTTTTTTTACAAAATGTCCAGTCACTGTTTCAGTCTGAGTTGTGATAACATAGCTCCCACAGTGAAATTCAAACAACCAAACAAAAACTAGACAATAAAAAATGTGTACTTTAAAATAGAGCTGTCTGTATGGTGTCGTAGAGTACAGGCCTTTGTAGTAAATTACAGAACGGCTTGTTCAGGTCATAGTCTCAAACACCTAACAAAACTTAAGTTAGCAGCTCACAGTGACATGACAAAGCTCTCCCAGAGACACTCCTATCTCACTGGAGATCAGCCGACACGTTGACAAAATACATACAGTTTGTGCTGCGTCCCGCTTTATGACAATGAAAAATACCACAAGATCTTCCTGTTAACATTCAGAGGAAAATGCAGTCTACAGTGGGATGACATGTGGACATCAGGTGATTACAACTGAAGCAGCACGAAAAGAAAACAGTTGGATGTTGAGAGAGGGAAAAAAAAGAAAGGGTTGTTTTTGGAGGTTTGTGGTTTTTACTTACACAGATGCTGCCAGTATCCATCCCCACAGACAGCCTCCTGGTCTCGGGGTTAAAGGACATACAGGAGCACTGCGCTGGAGACACAGAGGAAAACAAAATGATCTGATACCAATATATTGCTCGATATCTTTCTGAGATCTATCTTGGATCTGAGAGATAGATAGATAGATATAGATAGATCTTTTTTGTTGCATTGATCCCTCAAATGCAGTTACCAAACACTTGTTGAAAAGCTATTTAATGGATACAATATGGTCACCCAACTGGAAAGTAACTACGCATGTACAACGCGTAGTTGATAATGTCCTATTACCGTTATTTGGGATACTCTTTAAGTACGCACTTCAAAAAATAAACAACTTAAGTCTAGTTTTCAGACATTCTTATCTGGAGTAGTGTTATTTATAACGTGACCCTGTCGGTGTTCTTTGATAGTTAATTTATGCCTAAGGGACGCTGTTTCTATATGACTTAAAAAAAAAACATAACTCTCACAGCCTGAAGCGTACCACACTCTGTAAGAACCATTCATCTGATCTTTTCAGCCAGATTCTGATGCTGCACCTGTTTCATGATTTATCATTCAAAGTGCATCTCTTGAGCTTGATACGCATATCCTTTCTGATCCCCCCCCCCCCTTGACCCTCAAGGATAAGCAGGCAGAGCTAATGGATAGATCTCAACAACACTTTGACATCCACAGCTTCAAATGGTCATGGACCAGTGGTTTTGTTATGTAACCCCCCCCCCCCCCCTCCCCTGGGTTAATTGCAAGGTACACAAAGCATTTTACTCGGTCGCTGTTTATTAAAGTCTCCCGAGCGGAACGTGTTTTGTGTTTGTTGACAGTCAGCCTCGGTGTTGTTCTATTTTGCATTTTTACTGCTTCCTTTGATTGCCTTGTTTACTTGAACAAAAAGGAAATTAACTCTGCTAATATTGTCTTTTTCTTCATTGCAGATTTCACATATGAATCTACCTTATCAGCAGAAACAATGTCAGCTGTCTGAAACTACCATTCCTGTCATAAAATATCAGAGTCTGTCAGGGAAAAAGAAAAACATGCAAGGTCATCCTGCAGAAAAAATGCAGCAACAGTGTTGATGAGCTGATTGATGGTACAATCTTAAAGCACGACACATGAGTACTTTTTCCTACTTTAAAGCCACAATGTATTTGTTCTTTCTTGGAATATTGCCTTATATGGGTATTTATTAAGAGGGTACAACTGTGTGTTCAGTGTGAGATGGTAAAGCTATTTAAAGAACTTCCTTTCTGCCCGATGAAATGTGGAGAAAACAAACCAAGAATAAAAATACTTCAGATAATTCAGATATTTCTGTTAACCACTATCGATGACAGATGGCAATATCCTGAATGCACCGGTTGAGCTTTTAGAAACAACAACAAATAACAATAATAATAATAATAATAACCGTGGGATAAAGGTCCCTACATTTGACCTCACCTCCTTTAAGTTTCCAGAGAGCTGAACAAAGATTAAAAAACTTAAGTTTGCGCAACTCAAGGAATGCACAAATGCTGAGAAGGGGCGTCGGTAGCCTGGTGGATATTGGGCACGCCCCATGTACGGAGGCTATACTCCTCCAAGTGGTTGGTCATGGTTAGAATCTGACCTGTAGCTCCTTTCCTGCATGTCATTCCCCACTCTCTCCCTCTTTCTGATTTCTGACTCTATCCTCTGTGCTAACTCCACAATAAAGGCAAAACAAGCCTTAAAATAGATCTTTAAAAACAACTAAACCATCAATCTCTATAAAAAAAATATTAAGATATTAATGTCATTATTTCTGACTTACTTGTTTTGGACAAATAATTAAAACGATGTAAATGCTGTATCTTTTTATCGCTTTGGATAACAGTGTCTGCTAAGTGAATTGTAGAACATAGTAGAGCACACTGTTTTCAGTTTTTCTGTCAGTGAACTGAAAGGTTAAAAATGCTGTTTCTGTGCTTCTGTTGTTAAACCACAGATCTTGCTGATGGTAGCAAAGGACTTCCTTCGGTTGCTCAACAAAGGACAAACAGACGTGCAGCACTGCAGTACTGTTGAATAGACCAGCACCAACTGGACTGACCCCCTCCCCTTCCTCCCCCTCCTCCCCCTCCTCTTAGAGTGGTACATTCTGCCTCCTGATTGTTGTTCATTAAGACCACAGAGGAGAGGAGGAGAATGATCCTACAGGAACACGTGCTGCAAGTTCAGAATCAGGAGCCATTCCTACTGTGCTTTCTTGTTATTCTGAGAGTTGACGTCTGTGTAATCACTTTGTGCGTCATGATGTGAGAAATGTCAACACAGAATGAAAGCAAAGACATAGGAACATTAACAAGAAAAGAAATTCACAACAGCTCCTTTCCAAGAAGTCTGTGTTTCCAGTACAAATTTGCTTTTTAAAGTTGCACACTGCTACATATTTATGACTTATTTGATTAGATTGAACAGGCCAAAGATTGATCTCATTCAAATACAGACCTTGTATTTGTTTTAACAAATTTCCTTAAGGGATCGGAAGAGACAGCTCGAACAGTATCGTTTAAAACAGTATTGGAATACTTACATGTCATTGTATGGTAGACACTGGGCCAGTACTGACCGCTGTCTCTCTTCAGCCATACTCGAATCGTCCTGCGGGATCAAACCAACCATGATGTTTTAGTGCCTTCCCAAAGCTCTCATAGCATCTAAAGTCTAACTTTAAACCTGACAGATATCAGAATTCTTGTGGACGATACCATTTTTGCTGACGGACAATGACCTGCTCTGAGATCCTTTCTCTATTGATATATGAGAATACAGGAGGATATGCAGTTCTCCAAATTAAATATCTAGAATTCAGAACGCTCAAATAATATTTAGCTTCCTGTATGGAGGAATTTTTTTTTTTTTTTGTTTGGGTTTGACTTTTTTTTTTTTTTACAGAAAATAAAATAAAATGCTTGACTGATTTAAGAACGATGTAATCAAGACGTTTGCCGGGAAAGCACTCAGCACCTCAGAACTGTCACAATCATTGCGCACTATCAACACAGAAAATGAATTATTATTTATTCCAGGTCAATAAATCACTAAAATCAGTGGTGTTTGGAAACTTCACGATACCGCATATTTTTTTATTACCAAATGTTTTTAAACAATACGATCTCCAAAATCCAGCATCAAAAATACAGAAGGTTTGAAAAATTTGCCAACGTACTTGTGCAACTTAGACAGTAAAGGTTTTGGTAATTAAAAAACATAGAGTCAATACTGGGTGTCTAGGACTTGTATTTTTGTTGCTGTGGTATTGAAACAGGTTTAATTAAAATGTATTTTTACTATTATGGTGTCAAAGTTTAAAAAATTATATTAGGACAATATTGGTTATTGCTGAATATTTCCTCTCTAAAATTAGTATTGGTCTCAGTCTCACAAAATCAACACCCTTTTTATAAAACTATGTAGGTTGTAAAGGAAATGTTATACCATTTTTTTTAGTAGGCCAACATATCGCAAGCATCTGTCCTTTACATATTAAATAGCCAAAATATAATAAAGCCATAGTTGTTTAGGCATTTAACTAATTACTAATTATAATTATTTCTTTACACATTTCAACATACAACCTTTAAACATACAAAGCCTCAAACCAAGCCTCTAGCACTTAGACATGTAAATAGACTGGAAACACATGACAACCAAAGGAAAGCACACACACAAATACATGTATATATATCCACTCTGGACCCAAAGACTAAAGGAAAATCCATTCTGTAACACAATAACATGGTTTTTTTTAGCCTTATGTGCCAGAACATGTTAAACACACCCAAAAGTGCAATACTGGTTAGACAGTCGGCTGGTTTGGTTAATATTTGCCAGCTTTCTGACCACTATTAAAATATGCACAGCAGACATGTTTATCATACCGTCGTTTACTGGCATGTAATGAACTGAAATGACTGTGTCAGCTGACAGGTAAACCTATGTTAAAGGATTTTTCTTCTATAAACCATTGGACTGTTTATAAATAATTAAACCAGACGGCAGCATGAGCTCAATCAATAACAGACAGGAGCAGAGGGGGGGGGCATTGCTGCAGAAAAAAAAACAAGGCAGGGACGGTTGTAAATTAGGATACTTTGACACTAATTCGCAGTCTAGACGAGCTTACCTGTCCTCGGACACGCTGATAACACCGTCTTCCTTGGGGATGATGACCGCCGTGCTAACAACATCTTGGAAAGCCTCGATTTTGCTCAGCAGACACGGCTTCCGAGCCTGCGCTTGAGGCTGAATTTCGGCCGCCATGGGTTGTTGGTGGTGGTGGTGCACAAACCTTCGTCTCCGGGACACATAACCCCAGCCCGGTCCGACAGCAGAGCCTCCTCGGCTAAAGGGGGGGGGCTGCTAGGCTAGCTGTCAGCGGGCAGCGCGCAGTGTTGTGACGGCTGTAGGAGATGCTGCTAGTCAGCTGACATCACGCACACCCGCCTACATCCAGGCAACAATCATTTCCGGTTAATAAAATAAGACTACCGGATGGACTGGCCATGTCACTTTTCTCTAAATAAAGGCATGAGTTCTGATACATTTTTAAGAAGTGTTCTTTTTATTCCAGGTTATAAAAAAAACGGAATAAATTCGGACTACACTTTTGTCAATAGCTGATCTATTTTTTATTTTTTAAATCTATCTTTTAGTATCTATTTTTTTAAATCTATTTTTTTAGTATCTATTTTTTTAAATCTATTTTTTAGTATCTATTTTTTTTAAATCTATTTTTTAGTATCTATTTCTTGAATCTATTTTTTAAATCTATTTTTTAGTATCTATTTTTTAGTATCTATTTTTTAATCTATTTTTTAAATCTATTTTTAGTATCTATTTTTTTAGTATCTATTTTTTTTAATCTATTTTTTTAGTATCTATTTTTCTGTATCTATTTTTTTAGTATCTATTTTTTTTTATCTATTTTTTTAGTATCTATTTTTTTTGTACATTCTTAATTTTTTTTTAAATTTAAATTGTACTGTGTTCACTTTTTGTCTGCAATCTTTGCTCTTTGCTGCTGTAACACTGTCAATTTCCCCATTGTGGGATAAATAAAGGATTATCTTATCTTATCTTATCTTAAAGTATGTTGTTTCATCTCAATGTATGCAACAGCTACTTCAGGCCATAGACTGTATGGTTCTGACCGAGCAATCTAATTGGCCAAGAGGGATTCTGTCTAAAATCTAGTAGGGTACAACCTACAGTCTATGGCAGGGATGAGCAACTTTGGTCACAGCCAGGGCCACATTAATTTAATTCTCACTGCCAGGGGGCCAAATTGTAGTATACAAAAACGATTACAGTCAATTTTGTCTCCAATTTAACTCAACATATACCAGTGATCAAATATTATTATGGACATACTTCTGGTTTTCATGATTTCATGGCAGATTTAGTCATGTTTTCTTTCTGTTCCCAATTAATTGATGTGTAAAAATTGACCTGAGGGCCACATTGAGGGTTGATGGGGGCCGCATATGGCCCCCGGGCCGCCAGTTGCCCACCCCTGGTCTATGGGTACAACATACAGCATTTTTTCACAATAACAATAGCATATGTATCAATCCGCCTAGACATAATGAATACAGTCAATTAATATTACACCACAAGGTGTTTGTCTTTATTATCTAAATTAAATTTAAATATTATTATTATATATGTCTGTTTTTGGGTTCTTTTCTGTGAATTGTTTTTAGTATTTTGCATTTGTTTAGTTCTTGCTGTTGTTAATGTGGTTGGTTTGCTTTAGTTTGCTTTGTTCTTGTTTGTCAAAGCACTTTGTAAACCTGTGTTTTTAAAAGTTGTTATATAAATAAATAAAGGTACAAATAGCCTAAAAGTACAGCTCTAATGCAAAGTAGCTGCATGTTAGATATAGACCATTATCTGTAAATATACAGTCTGTTAAGACATAAACAAAGTAACACGACTGCAGATGATTGGTTTGTTTGGCAACACTCAAGTTTCAGTTATTTGGAATTGTGCTGCCTTCAAGTGCTCCTCGGATATGTCGTATTTACCGTATAGTACTAGTAGCCTTAATAAGCACTCCAACCTCCGAAGTCGTGATTACCAGTGGGAAATTTTGATGGTACCTCAGTTGTGAGGTTTGCGGGACGTTTCAGGGCAGCAAAAATGGCAGAAAACTTATAAACATGCTTACAGTATAGCCCACTGAGACGACATAAAAAGGGACAACACAGACAACTTTAGGCTATGCTAAGCCTAAAGTTAGAAATAAAGACAGCTAGCTAAGGAAATATTTGTTAATTATAATGTTATTTTAGCTTGTAAATTAATTAAGATGTCAACTAGGATACATCTGATGTGCATTCCATGTTTTTCATTCTTCTGCTGAAGCACAAAAGAGCTGTAGTCTCTACTACTTGCTATAGGGAAGTACATTATTTCCAAAGAGCACTTGAATGCAGCATTCGTTGCCTGCTGGCAGTCTGGGGGAGCAACAACAATAATCTGATGTTACTTTTTACTATATTGTATAACTGTTGGATAATATTGTTTTCCATAATGTAGTGTTGTACTGAAGATCAGCACAACTGTGATCTAGATGAAGTGCTGATATTCACACCTCATCATCGAGTGTGAAATATTCTATCCATAAGATATATACTAAATTTAGAAAAAATGAAATCAGATATGGAAAGAGAATTCTGATAGGAAGTGATACAATCTCAAATAAACAATGCCACAGGGCTAAAGAGAAGCTCAGTGTTAAAATTTACATAATCCAAGCTTTTATTGTTATCTTGCAATCAATATATTCATTAATTTAAGGGCTTTAGATAATCGGAGCCAAAACCAACTAGGCCGTGATATTATTTGTAACAGCATTGCTTGTTTATTAAAAACATATAATCACTACTTGTAACTCAGGGCTTGTTTACATTTTCAACTATTGACCTGCAGGAGGCATAAGACAAAGATCTGATTGTACCAACATAAGAGGGTGAGCAACATTCATAAACATATTGTGTTCAATTTAAGGGAGAAAAAACACTGAAGTTATAAATGTTATGTTGTGAGTGAGTCTGTTATCTGAAACTGAAGTCGTCTTTGTAATATTATAGGTAGCTTCACACATTAAACTGAAACAGAGCTGTCAGTGGTCAAGTGTAATTGATAACAGAACATCCCATCCGTTATAGACTTTCAATTTAAAACACTTTAAACACTTACTGAAACTCGTCGCTGTTTTAGACTTTATCCCAAGCAGAGTTGCCATAAATCGATCATGTGATATTTTTGAAGCCTTTAAGTTATGTTTGTTAACATCGCCAAATACAAACGTTAAACTCTTTCACTCTTTATGATATATTTAGTTTAGGCTTGTTGAATAAAGAAGTCGATAAGTTGGGAAATATTCATTTTCGGACACAGTCAGTCTGGATTTCAAATTAAAGGTCTAGTAAGAAAAGTTAAAGTCGACTGAAAATGTATGGATGTTGATTTCTTTAGGATATTTTCTCATAAAAATGTTTGCTAAAAGATATATCTGTATGGATTTATTTATTTTTCAGAAAGAAAGACATCTCGTCTCCCCTAAAGTGTAATGTCTCTGTTTATATTACATTACTGTTTTTATTGAAGTGTAAAATAAGTAGGCTCAAATTAAATGTTGTGACTGGTTGAGACTGTGACAGGCATGATGGTAAATGTTTCTTCTCACAAATACAGCATGGAAAGGCATAATCTGAAAAAAAAAAAAATCTAAAATGTATTTGAAAAGAATAACATTTTAAATGTGAGCCATGTTTCACTTTACTTTTTACACTGCATCATTGTAATGCACATCATTCATTATATTAGTTGGTTCACACTGATAGTTCCCGTAACACCTTCTACATAAACAATTTTATCTTGAAAATTGTGTCACTGGCAAACCGGAATATGAAGTGTTGTTCGTGTTGCTTCTGAGAACTGTGTCAAACATCTTCGCTATCGACTGCTACCGGATGGTTTCCTCCTATTTGCACGGAAGTGATGATGTTTTCAACAAGCTTCATTATGTAAATTGCATTGCACAATCTCTAACGCCTGGTCGAGTGTCATGTGTCTTTTATGGTGAAACCCCATCTATCAGACAGGATCATTTACATAGTGCTGCCCTTTTGGTATCTTTTAAGGCCTAATAATCCATGTTTGTGTTAAGTACAAACTTATGGGAAGCAACAAATTAGCTACTTCCTACTGCTTTCATAAATCCCACTTAGTAAATCTCTTCACAAAATGTTTTTAGACTGCTACATTTATGAATCTTAATGCACATATGGGAAGTCAAAGAGCTAAAGAAAGGGCGTGTGGGTGCGTGCGCATGTCAATCCCTTGCAGCGACTATTCATCTAAAGCTGTCCTCTTTCTGAGCGTTTCGCAGAAAAGGGCTGTCTTTATTTGGAAATCACATGAAAATAATGTGCCATTGTGCCAGCCAGTAATTTGTCTTTACCCCGGGAGCACTCTGGGATTAATATTGCAATGCTTTATGCATGATATTGTCTGTTACTGCCTTCACTTTCCCCCTCAATAGTCTCCAGGGCTTGTCTTTCACAGTAGCCCACGCCCGTGCATAGGATGAAGTAAATGTTGATTATGCAATCAACTTTCAGAGCGGACACAGGCAAAATCCAAAACAATATGGATTCCAAGAAACTGCCGAAAATACCCAAAAGACGAGCATTATCACCATATATATATATATATATAATATATATATATTGCATTCTTAAACACACATCGTAATGTAGTGAATATTTTTCCTCGCATTCCTGCCTCTCTCTCTCCAGGCAGAGCAAGCATGCGCATGAGACGCACAGCTTTTGGCCTAATTTGGATATGGTAATGAAGCGGCTCCCGGACAGCCAATGGGAAGCGAGTGTTCTCACACGTGGTAAGTGAAAGACCCGCTCGGGAGGCGGGGCTAAACTCAGGGGCTTTGATTAAAACCAGTGGCGAAGACACAGCGCATTCAGTGTAGGGAGAAGGCAGGGACTACACTATGAGGGGGAACTTTGTTACTATGAAAACTTAAAGCAAAAAATATTGTAAAAAAAAAAAAAATATATATATATATATATATATATCAAAATCCCTCGTAAATCAATAACCTGCCCCCTTTAGGGTGTGAGGTTTTTTAGTTTAGCTCGCCCCGGAAAAGGGCTTCTACACTCACTATTCTTACACTTTTTTTTTTTTGAAAGAATGTGTGAGACAGACAGTTAGCAAAGCTAAGCTAAGCTAGCTGAGAGAGAGAGAGAAGAGAGAGAGAGAGAGAGAGAGAGAGAGGTGATACAAGCGGCAGGAAGAACAAAAGATTTTTTTTTGTTTTTTTTTTTGCGTTTTGACCGGTTGTTACTGACACCCAAGTCCATGCAGAACGTGTCATTACCATCACAATGCCCGTTTTACT